GCACACCAGGACTGTTGTGGCCCTTTCTGTTAATGCAGTTCGCATCTGTGCTCACCCACAGGTTTTCCACCTCTCTTGAGGTACAGGAGAGGATAACAGATCCCTTGGAGAATGCAATCTGTATTAAAGTTCCACCGGGTGCCTGTGTAATCCTCACAACCACCCTGCAAAGTCACATCATCACCCCCAGTTTGTTGATGAAGCCCAGCTCAGAGATGGGCAGTCACTTAGTGAAGGTCACACAGCTGCCAAGTCTTGGGGCTGGGAGATGAACTCAGGTCTGACTCGAGTCTAAAGCTCTTTTCAAGGATGAGGAAGGCAAGACTTTCACAATGTCCTATAAAGGCAAAAGCAATGGCTTCCCCTGGGTGCTCCTCATCCTCCCTGCATGGACAGGCTCAAGGCAAACCCTGCGTGCCATGGAACCTGGGCATAGAACCTGTTGGCAGTCTAGTATGTGTCCTTGGAGACGAGGTATTCCCTGCCATGCTGACGGTGAGAAGAATAACAGCAATAACATCAGAGTATTAATAACAAGCCAGGCAAGATGCCAGGTCCTTTGGGGCACCTTATCTCAAGTCCTTATACGAATACCTGCCCCCAGCAGAGTAAGTCCCCATTTCACAGAGGAGGATCAGTTAGGTGCCAGGGCCATGTGGTCTCTAAGCCTGGCTCCAATGGACAGGGCAGGAGAGAGTTGACAGTCACCAATCATAGACACAGAGGAGATCCTCTCAGCCTGCTTCCCCCACTCAAGAAAAATAGGGCAAACAAATAAGGCCACACCAGCCCAGTGCCCGGGGAGTCCAGGGTGAGCCAGGAGTCACTGTGAATAATGCCTCCGTTCAGCAGCAGTGGACTGCAGCCTCAGGAAGGCCTGTGCTTACCCGCTTGCACACAGCCAAGGTGCTGGGTTAAATGGTGAGATCCCCTCCAACGGGCCAGAGGATCCCCAGACTTGGGCTGCCAGGGTGATCCCTTTGGGTCTCAGTCCCCAGAGACAGCACCATGAAAGTCTTTCTGTAAGGCAAAGTCCTGGCTTCTCCTCTCAGGCAGCTAGTTTCCAGGACAGACCCTCTGTAGTCCGGAGTGAGTCTGCTGGGGTGAGATGGGGGGCTCACTCGCTGGGGTACACACTGGGGAAGGAGTGCTGCTGGAGAGTGGCACCCTGCAGGAGGGCCTACGGGAGGCTTTCCAGGCTGGGAGAAGCAGCAGCCAGAGAAGGCCGAGCCTGACTGCTCTCCCCCTGGGCCACACCCGAACTTGCGAGCTGGATGGCGAGGGTGGGGGGAGAGGTGAGCCTCCCAGGAAGGTCTTTCCCAGGGTAAACACTTCCAAAGAAAGGAATGTGTAGGGCAGAGCCGTTGGGCCAAGGGAGCTGCAGCCAGCTGGGGGAAATTTTTAAAAAACTCACCCCAGGGCTTTTTGTGGAACTCAATCAAAGCCTCGATGCTCCCCTTCTGCCAAGGAGGGCATATCCTACCTGGATAGGTGAACCCAAAGGGCCCCCGTCGGGCCCGACGGAGCCCTGGAAGTCTGTGCAGCCGAGAGGCTCCGCTGCCCGGGCAGGCCTTGCGGGCCGAAGTGGGCCGTGGCCTCGCCGCCGAGGTAGGAGCGCAGCCCGGGCTGGAGCTCCGCGTCTCGCCGCGCACAAAGGCGCCGCTCGCGCCCCAGCGGGTCTTGGGGTCGTTAGACCTGGGAGCTGTCTTACAAGCGATTAGACTCCATTTTGTGACAGATTTTTGGACTCTCCCACCGACCCTCCCCCCTTCCGGAGCCTCCTCCAGGAATTCGCCACCTCTTCAGGATAAAAACCCTTTCCAGACGAGCGACAGACGGCAAGAAAAGAGAGTTACATAATTCTATTTGGCCAAGCCGCCAAGAAAAAAACAGGGTGGGGTGGGGGGAACATGCCTTATTTTTCATTTGTTCTCTGGTGAAGGACGGGGAGAGGCGTTCCTGATTTGCAGGACGCTGCGTTTCCTCTCCGTTTCTTAACCGGTTTTCTGTCTGAAAAGGCTTTTTTTTTTTTTTTTTTTTTAATAATGAGACCCCAAAAATCACACATGGGGAAAACAGAGACTTTTGGAGTTAAGAATGAAAATGCCCAAACTCCGCGGCTGACCTCTGCTGTGCTCTGCCCACCAAGGATGTACAAGAGGATTTTATCAAATTTGGCTCAATGTGCCGCAGTGTCAATTAATCACCCCCGTAGTGCGTAAAAGAACTTGGCATTTCTGGGTGTCCCGGATCTCGGGGAACAAATCGAAAGGAGGAAGAAACACGTACGAAAAACGGCAACTTCTTTTTAAGGATGGAGCCCTGCAACTCAATCAGGGGTGAGGACACATTCTTCAAGTTGTGTTTGGTGCGGGGATTGTTAATTTCCCAATGCCGCTGGTGCACAGACTCGACAAAATCAAGAAGGCACGTTTCTGTGCCCGCTTGCCTGGATTCTCGTCTGAAAAGCATTTACGCACAGATGAAATAAATATGCATCTGCGAATCTCAAAGAAAAAAAGAAATGTGAATAAAAAAAATTATTGTGCTAAGAATATCCCTTTTCAGGGAGCCGCTGCCTGCCTGGAGCGGTTCTCCATCTCCCTGCAAAACGACTCCCTGGGTATTTGTCCCCAGGACTGTCTTGATAACACCCACCCCACGCCTCACCCCTAGCACATCCTGCTGGCCTAACGAAGATACCTAATTGGGATTATTGGGAAAAACGGGATGAGGGAGGAGAAGTGAACTGCATAGCTAGAATAATGCACTCCCCACCCCAGGCTTCAGCCCCACAGAACCCAGACTGAGTGAGGTCTGGGGACCTGAGATTCGCCCTGTGCCAAAAATCATTCCCAACACACGAGACTGCACTGAAGAAGCCGACTCTTAGGTGACTTTTTCCTTTTCTTTTAAAAACAAATATACTTTGGACAAAGCAGTCACAAATGTTTAACGTTTGTTTTGTAGGATGAGGGCTAAGGCAACATCCAGCTGAAATTTCATGACTTTACCATTCTGTGCCTGAAGAACTGGGGGCACCCTTTCTTCTTTTTAAAGAGAAGCTCCATAAATTATTATGGGGGGTGGGGGAGGCAGAATATGTACAAGTGATTGGTAAGAATCTTTTCAATATATTAAAAGTAGTTTTTGTTATTTTTTTTTTTCAAACCGTGCAAATGATTCGGAGGTCCCTTTCTAGTTTCCCCAGCCCCCTTCCCCCACGTGTGTCGCCAAGGCTGGTGGCTGAGCTGGGTGGTAAGTGGCACTGCCAGAGCTCGGAGGTCAGGCCAGCGGAGACCAGGGGTGCAGGGCTGGTGCACTCTACAGAGGCCAGCCCAGAGCCCACAACCATATCTACCCCAATCTAATTTTCCCATTCTATTTGTGCTGCTATATGCTTGGGCTGTGGCTGAACTGACTGGAGGCATCTCCATCTCCCAGAACTAGAATCAAATTAGTCCAGAGCACAGCACAAAGCCGACCGATGGCCGTGTGCCTAAATCTGGGGTGCTTCCTATTGAGAAGAAGGCCTCATCTGCACTCTGGGACCAGCAAAACAGCTGACCCTCTGCATGGACTCCAATCCCTACCCAAAGATCCCTCAGCCGGAAGAAAGAGCTAAGTGCAAAAAGCAGCTCCAGCTCAGCCCCTAGATCACCGGGCACAGCCAGGGCCTTTTGGGGTAAAACCTGATGTCCTCGCTAGGGCTCTGGCCTGCACTATTTCCAGGCCTCAGTTAAACAGTTCGGCTGTGCTGCTTTCCACTAGGGCCTGGATTTGGGGACAATCCCTGGGCACAGCAGGTAGGGTGCACTCACCATGAGGTGCCAGCAGCCCAGCTTTTCTTTCCCTGGATGCTTGGGCATACATAGCCCTCTCTGAGCACTAAACAACCGAAGCAGCTTCCCCACTCTGCAGGCTCATCCAGGACGGTTTTCTGGCATCACTAAAAAGTTTTCACAGGCACCCACTTGTCTCTGCAATGGGGCTTTGGGGATCCCCACACCCCTCTTTCAGTTGTGGCTCCTTACTGCCTCCCTCCCAATTGCACTGCCAGGCACAAAACCCAGCAGGTCAAATGAAAAAGCCTGCATGTACTGTTATCTGTCCCCAGCCCCGGCTATACAAATCCAGTCTCAGCTAAAAACTAAAGTTAGCAAGAAGGGCTCAACCCAAGTCTCTGGTCTCAGCGCTGAGGTTTGGGTTATAACAGGGCAGAGCGGGCCGTTCCCCTCCTCAGTACACACTGCTAGAAAGGAGACCTTCTGGGGAGGGCTAACTCTGTCAGCTCCTCACTCCCACTGGGAACCCCAGATTGTAGCTTGCCCCCTTTTGACGTCCTCTTCCTGGAATGCTTCCCCAACCCAGAAAAACTGCAAGTGCAAAATTCCCGCATGGAACGGTTTGGGGAATATGGACATTCTTTTCTTTCCATCAGGGACTAACAGTGCAGCAGGGAGCCTGGCAGAAAGGGGTCCTCCCTTGCTGCTGAGGCCGTTCAGTGTCCAGCACTTCATCTCCTGGCTCCTGGCTCCCGGCTCCTGGCTCCCGGCTCCAGGAATCCCAAACCCCCACTCACCAGGGCCTTGAAGCAGTCCGCCAGGCCTGGCTCCCTAAAGCACCGTTTTCCTTTGGAAATCAATTTTGTGTTCCCAATTCTGACCTCCGTAGGGCCAGACCCCATCCCAAGACCCAGGCACCAAATTCCTCAGCCGGCCCAGGGCCTTGTCCTGCACCCCAATTCAGCGGCCCAGAGCAGGATTCCGGGACAACGGATAGCAACTGGGGGCCGTCCGGAGGTTCCCGGGACCCTATCAGTGCTGGCTGGGCTGGGCTGCTCGGTCCCAGCCCCAAGACGCGCAGCTCCCAGAGCCCTCAGAGCTGACCGGCCCAGCCGCGCACAGAGCCGGCAGAGCTGGCGCGGGCCGGGCCCGGCAGGGGGCTGGCTGGGCTCGAGTGCCGGGTGGTGGCGGGGAAGGAGGACGAGAAGCGCTTACTGTTGGTAGTCTTGTTTGCAGTACAGTTTTCGATCCCGGAAGTAGCAGCTGGTGGTGAGGGCTTGCTGACACGCCGCGCACTGCAAACACTCCTCGTGCCAGGACGACTCGTTGACTCGCATCAGGAAGCGGTCGGAGATGGGCCGCTGGCAGCCCTCGCAGACGGCGGGATGCGGGCAGTCGGAGCCTGCAGCGCACAGGGCGAAAGCACGGCAGTCAGTACCGCCCGGCCCAGTTCTGGCGTCCCGGTCGCACCGGGCCCACAGTCCCCGGCCCCGAAGGCTCGGGATGCCCGGGATCACCGCCCTCCGCTTGCGCCCCCCGGACCGCCGCGCCAGGGGCCGGGCGGCCCCAGCTAGTCGGTCCCAGTCCGCAGGCTCCGGCGCCGTAGAGGCCGCGGGCCTCGAGCCTCGGCTCGGCGCTGCGCTCTCCCCGTCTCCGGAGAATCCGCGCTCGGTGTTACGACAAATGAGAACGAGCATGGCGCAGGGTGGCCGGCTGGGACCAAGACAGGAGAGGTGAGGCTGGGGCGCTCGCTGGCTGACACGCCCCACGGCAGCGTTCCTGGTCTTCTGTCCCCGATCTCCCCAAGATCTGTGGTTTGAGTGACCCGGGAGACGTTTTTCTCTTAGAAGCTCCCCCACCCCAGGTGAGCTGGCGCCTCTCCCAAGCTCGCCAAGGTGACTGCTAGGTCTTCCATCACCCCTGCCACCCGCCACCTACGCAGCCGGAGTGGCAGCTCTAGAACCTAGGCCTGAAAGGATGGTGGGTGGCGACTGGAGCTGTCCTGTCCCCTCAGGACGCCCGCCGGAGGCGTGCTTGCGGCCCTCTGGTGATGACTCCAGGAGTCCTGTCTCTCTGCCCCCATCCCCATGGCAAACCCATTTCCTTTATCCGTTGGCCCGGACGCCCGTGTCCACAGCCGGACGACGCCCCTGTCCCAAGCCCTAGACTACTCGAGCGTTCCGATCCCGCACTCACCCAGCAGCACCCCCAGAGTGGCGGGTCCGGGGCGCAGGGCGTGCTCCTCCATCTTGATGCCGTCCAACATCTTGGCGCAGTCCGTCTGCCCGCGAGGGAAGCACCTCTCCAGCGACTCGGGACCTGTTGCTATATCCATGGGACGAGGGGCGCGCTGCGGAGCCCGCCGGCCCGGCTGCTCGCCTGCCGGCCCGTCCGCCCGCTCTCCGCCGCCGCGGCCCTGGAGCCGGGGAGGCGCGACCCCCGCGGGGCAGAGGCTGCGGCGGCCCCCGGCGAGCGTGGAGCGGCGGCGCGCTGGCGCTGGCCCCGGGCCCCGGCGTCGTGCGGGCGGGCCGGGGCGGCTGCAGCCCGCGCCGCGCTCTCCTGGGCACTGGCAGCCACGCGCGCCGGCTCCTCTGTCACCTGCTTGTCAGTCCCGGAGCCCGGCGGCGGCGGCGGTGGCAGCAGACGGAGCCGCGGGGAGGAGGCGGCGGCAACGGCGGCGGCGGGCGGGGGAGGGGGTGGGGGTGCAGGGGCGGCCCCGCAGGCCGGGGGGGCGGTGCGCGGCGCAGCGGGGTCCCGGGCGGGGCGCAGCGGGCCGCGGGGCTCCGGGCGCGCTCCCCGCGCTACTCCAGTGCCATGGTGCGCCCGCGGAGCCGCCGGGTTTAGAGCTGGGGCTGGCGGCGGAGGGATACGGGCCGCCTCACCTCTCGAAACTTCCTGACATTTGAACCCCGCGGCCCGTATCCCTGCGCCGGGATGCGCCGCCGGCTCCACGTCAAATAGTGCCGTCCCGCCCCCCCTCCCGCGTCCGGGCGCCCCGCGCCGCGCCTGGCCCCAAGCGCGGGCCCCAGCGCCCCGGCCCGGTCGGCCGCCCCGCGGGCCCCTTGCAGAAGTTCGGGTCACCTTCGAAACAAATCCCTCTGCTCCACCCCCTTGAAAAACTGATTTGGGAGTTGGGGAGCGAAGGCTTTCTCTTTTCTCCCCTGCCTTCTTTATTATTAATGTTTTGTAAAGCTCCAGCGCTATGAGGAGTGGCCCCGAGCGAGGCCAGGCTGCGCGGACGGCGGGGAGCGCGGCGGCTCCGCCAGGGGACGGCGCCGGCCCGGAGTGGCTGCCCGGAGACCCCCGACTGTCGGCCGAGGTAGGTCGCTGGAGCTGAGTCGGCGTCCCCCGGGCGGCGGCGCCTGCTCGGGGTGGCTTGGTCCGCGGAGAGGGCCGGCTCCCGGGATCGAGGGACGGGGGCGGGCAGAAGGCAAGGAGGGCTGGCCCTGGACTCGCCCAAGGGGGACCCAGGCCCAGGAGCGGGGAGTGGGCCCGGAGTGTGGGTGAGGGGTCCGGGAAAACTCCGGGCCTGGCAGAGATTGGGCGGAGGACTGAGCCCAAGGGAGGTTGGGGCCCCCGGGATCGAGAATGGGGGGCACTGGGCCGACAAGGAAGGTCAGGCCCGGGTTCAGGCAACCGAGAGTTTAGAGGACAACTAAGGCTGGAAAAGGGCCCCGGGCAGGGGCGGGAGCGATAGGCAAGAGCCGGGCCTCCTAGGGTTTGCAGCGAGGGGCTCTGGGAGGGAGTGGTGGCTCCAGGGTAGCGGCTCCAGAGAAATCGGGTTGGCTGCCAAGATTGGAGTCCTTTGGCGTCCCGGGTACCCGGCCCGGGGTCGCTGGGCCGCGCGGATCAAGGACAGTGCCCTGGCCAACCTGGGCAAAGTGGGCCTCGGCACCGGGAAGCGAAAGGCCGGCGAGATGGAGCTGCTGACTCCCGCGCTAGCCGGGCCTGGCACCCGCGTCCGGTGCGAGAGGCCACTGCGTCCGGCCGGCTGTCTGCGTCCCCTGGGTCCCCACCGACGCGCGGCTCACCGGGGAGCAAGGGGACGGGTGAGGCTCGGGGCAGCAGCGGGCTGACCTCGCGATCCGCTGCGGGGCGGCCCCGGCTCCTCCCGGAGCGAGGCAGCGGCGCGGAGCCAGGCGGGGGCGGAGGGCATGGGGGGCGGGTCCCCTGACCTCGCTGGAGGCGAGAGGGCGGATCGGATTTGGAACCTACGGGAGGCTTGGTCAGAAGTGGCCCCCTGCCCCGCGGGGCCCCTCGGAGGGGCCGGGCTTTGTGGAGGATTGGAGGCTCCCGCCCCACCCCAATACCTGCGTATGTGTCAGTGGGTATCTGTGTGTGTCTGTGCGTGTTGGGCCCCCGCCTCTGAGGCTCCTCCGTGTGCACCTTGGCTCTGCACACACGGTATGTGTGTCCCTGCAAGCTTCCAGACTCCCAGGGGGTGAATCTGTGGATCTGTGTCTGAGTCCCCTGCACCCGTGTGTGTGTGAATGTGCGGGTCCTTCGTGCCTCTGTGTCTGGCGTGTGTGTCTGCACCACTCTGTGCGGGTGCCTAAGTCTTTGTGCGTGTCTCAACCTCTGTATTGTGTCTGCGATGCTTTTCAGTATGGGTGTCTGTGTCACCTTCGTGTGTCTGCGTATCTCCGGGGTTCTGAATGCTTCTGTGTGCTCGCGGGTCTCCCAGCGTCTGTGTTGGTGTGTGTGTTGGAGGGGGGGGCTTTGTGCCTCCATGTATTTCTAAAGGCGCCTTTGTGTGTTTAGGTCGGGGAGAGTGGACGAGTAAATGTGGAGTTTCCCACATCTTGGTCCCTTCTTTGCTTAACCTGGAAACCCCAGGCCTTGACCCGCGAAGTTGAGCCTGGGCCTGGGCAGTCTTCTCTTGGCATCGGGCGGGGGCGCGGCTGCTGCAGGGAGAAGCCAGGCGGGCAAAGGCTTCTGCGCGCAGAGCAGAGGCGCGGAGCCTGGCTTGGGGCCTGCAGGCGGACCAGGCACATTCTGCCCTCTGCTGGCCGCGGTGCGTCCCTGCAACCGGGGCTGGGCGACTGCCTGCAGGCGAGAGTCCTCGTTCCAGGCTCAGACCCTCGCTCTCTCCTTCAGGGTGCACAGGGGAATCCTCTCCCATCACAGGCCCTAAACCCCCAGCTTCTGGCGCAGGGCTCCATCCCCTCCCCTTGTTTTCCACTCCCCACCTTCCCTGTGCCTGACCCCTTCTACTCCACACCTCTCCTTTCCCCCTCCTTGGCTGAATAAGGGCCCCTTTAGCTCGGCCTCCGAGGCTTCTCTGACTCTTGGGTTGGTGTCCAGGGCCGATCCGGGGCTGCTGGCTGTGCCCAGAGGCGCGTTTCTCGGGCCACTCAAAGGCTGGGTCTCTGGGCAGGAGGATTTGTGGACAGTCACCGCTCCGTGCCGCTGCTGGTCTGTCTTGGGGACTGTGGATTCTCAGCGCTTCTCCCGCGATCCTGCAAGAGTCATATCCCACGCCAACAAGGCGGATATGGGGCGGGCTGCCACGATGCCGGCCGCGCCCGGGGAAGGGGTGCTGGCTTGGTGGACGCCAGAACCTGGCTGCCTTCTCTGGTTTGGGGTGGGGCTGCTGAGTCCACACCCCTTGGGCCCCTCTCAGTGTCTTCCCCGCTGTCCATTCATTCCCCCGTGTACACACACACACACACACACACACACCCTATAGGCTCTGTTCCTTGCCCTTTGTCCTCACTCCTCGGTTCCCGTGCTCCCAGCTGAGTTTGCTTGTCTCTCGGGTCCTTCGCACGTAGACGCGCAGAGGCCCCAGGTCTCTCCAGGACAATCAGGGCTCCTGTGCCGCTCCACTGCTTCCCTTGCTGGAGAAGCGGCTGACTGGACGGCACAGCAGGGGCCAAGGCCCAGAGCCCGCTCCTGCCCGCAGGCGGTGAGCGGTGCCTTGCTCCACCAGGGCCCTGCGGGTGCGATCCTGAACCAGCGGATTTCCCCGAGCGCCTCCGGCCCACGTCGCGGGAGCCGCTCAGTCCTCGCCAGCGGATCCGGGATGCTCTGCCGCTCAGATTTCAGCGGCAGAAACGACCTCGGATTCTCTCCACCTGGGGAAAGACTGAGTCGGTGGCTTGGAATCGCTGGAAGAAGCGAGAACGGAAAGGGAGGCTCCAGGGCGGGGGTCCCGGCTCCTTCCAGTCTGCGGACGCCCCAGCTCCATTGAGCCCTGCCCTAGTCCCCCTTGCTTCTCTTCTTATGGCCGTGCACCCTCTCCTCTGAGCCACCCGCCTCCCGCGACCAGGGTCCTCTGAGCTGCCCTCCCCCACCCCACCCAGCCCTGTCCATCCCGCACTGGGCTGTCTGGACCATTTTGTGCTTCTGACCAGAGCCGGAGCTGCATTGCCCTCTCCCTGTTTGCCACCCCTGCTGGAGGCGCGGATCTAAGGCAGCGCAGGGGCAGTCCAGGCCGGGTGCGAAGGAGCTAGAAGCCGAGGACCAGGACCTGTGAGCGTCTCTATTTACTCTGCCGGGAGAGCCAGGGCTGCGGAGAGCCTGGACTGTCCCACGTCGCCCCGCCGGCATTGGCCCTGCCGAGTCTCAGATCCACAAGAGGCGGCCAGACTGTGTGGACCAGAGCCATCCCAAGACGTGGGGCTGGGTTGGAGGTTGATATTCCTGGGAGGTGGCCCCGGGTCTACGGTCCTGGGAGAACCACACAGACTCAGGAAGTAGAGCAGGAACACCCAGAGACTGGGTGCTGGAAACTTGCCAGCCAGCAGTGACCATATTCCGTTTCTTGGACCCCAGTGGACTGGACCCCGGGGCACATGGGCCAAAGGGTTGGGCCCCTTCTCAGCTAGAGATGGCCGTGTGTAATCATCACAGAGTAACCCTTGCCGCAGCACGGGCAAGTGCCTGTGGTCTTGCTGTGCGGGTGGGAGAACTCACAGCGACCTTGAACCCAGGTGGAGGCCCACGCAGAAGAGTGATGGGATGGGGCCCAGCTGGGATCCTTTGAATCAGGCCTGGGAACTGGTTGCCTCTCCCATTGGGGTTTTTGAGCCTGATGGGAGAGGGGTGGTGGGGAGACAGGATTTGAAGGAGAATTTGCTGGTGAGGCAGAGCGTCAAGTCTGAGGCTGCGTACAAGCGTGTGTGTCTGTGTGTAGTAGGGAGACAACCAGCCCCAGTGAACCCCCTCAGTCCTTCCTGCAGCTCCCCCCCCCAGCGGGTGGGGGTTCTGGCCACAGACCCATGACTTTCCAGCACAAGGTCTGGGTCATTAGTCATGGGATTCCTCCACCGTGGGTTAGGAGACTGGCTCCCTCAGAGCCCAGGCTGCTGTCAGCCCTGGGGACTGGAGCTCCGAGAGACTGCGCCCTGGCCATGTGGTGCGGTGCTGAGG